CCGACTCCACACGCACCCAACATACATCAAACTGCAGACACCTTCCCTTGGTGTTCACTCAGTCATCACCTCCATCTCTGCATGACCTTGACAACCAGCGCATGACGGAGAATTGTGAATGACAACGATCACTGCTCACGCCAGGGTTATTGTGGTTGGATTATGAATGGATTGTATGTCAAGACGAAGTGAGTGAGAAAGAAAAAATATGAATGTTATATATTTCTGGATTCTTTTTTTCGTTTTCTTGTTTCCTTAAACTTTTTTGTTGTTTTTATTTGAATTGTATAATTTTCTTTCATTTTCGAATACATGACACATTGGTGGACGTATAGATAAATAGACAGACAGATAGAAAGATATATAGAGAACTAGATAGACCTAGAGATCTATATAGATAGATAGGAAGATAGATAAATAAATCTATAGAAATAGATAGATAGATAGGTAAACAGCCAGACATGTAGATAAGATAGCTGACAGATAGGTATATAGATAGTGTGTAGGAAAGAGTAAGTTATATTCTATATTTAGTTTTCTTTGGCTATTTTCCTTGATTGACTCCCCGACTTCTAAGAGCAAGTCTTGTCATCTCATTTTCGTCTTGCCGTCAGCATTTCACTCGCCCTTCGGCATCATTTTCATTCCAGTTATTATTATTGTTTTGATTATTATTATTGGTGTTATTATTTTTATTGTTGTAATTGTTATCATTATTGTTATAGTTATTATCATTATTGCTATTTGTTTTCTTCGCTGTTATTTTAGCTGCTGTTGTTATCACTTAATCATTATTTTTATTATTTTCATTTTCTTTTTTATCATTATGATTATTAATATTGTTGTTATCGTTATCATTTTCACCACCATCGTTATTATTATTATCAATATCATTTTCATCACGATTATTACTATCATTGTTAGTATTTTCTTATTATCATTGTCATTAATATTTTGATAAATACTATTATTACTGTTATCACCATTACTACTACTACTACTACTACTATTACTATCATTATTGTTATCATTATTACCAATATTACTATTATTTGCATTATCATTATTATTATTATTTTCATTATCATTATTTATTATTTTGTTCTTATTATTACTATCATTAGTATTGTTATCAATATCATAATCCTTATCATTAGTATTATTACAATTCTTATTTTATAATTATTACTATCATTACCATTATCATCATCGTTGTTATCATAATTATCATGATTATTATCATTATCATTATTATTATTATCTATATTATCATCATTCATCATCATCATCATCATCATCATCATCATCATCATCATCATCATCATCATCATCATCATCATCATCATCATCATCATAATCATCATCATCATCATCATCATCATCATCATCATCATCATCATCATCATCATCATCATCATCATTCATCATCATCATCATCATCATCATTCATCATATTATTATCATTATTCATTATTATTATTACTATTATTATCATTATGATTATTATTATTATTATTATTATTATTATTATTATTATTATTATTATTATTATTATTATTATTATTATTATTATTATTATTATTATTATAATAATAATAATTATTATTATTATTATTATTATTATCATTATCATTACTGTCATTATTACTATTTTATTATTGTTATTATCATTATCATTATTTTTGTTGTTGTTGTTGTTATTATCATAATCATTATTATTACTATTATTACCTTTTTATTGTTATTATTGATATTATCATCATCATTATCCTCATTACTACTACTATTACTATTTTCATCATTATTATTGTTATTATCATTATCATCATCATTATGATTATTGTTGTTGTTATTATCACCATCATCGTTATTATTATCATTATCATTATTATCTTAAGAATTATCACTATTTTCATCATTGTTCTCATTATCTTCATTATTATCATTATTACTATCATTATTGTTGTTATTATTTTACTATTTTCATTATTATTTTCACTACTATATTTGTTGTAACTATTATTACTATTATCATTACTGTTATAAATGCCATAACTATTATTGTTATCATTACATCTAGCATTATCATTATCATTACAATCATTATCATTATTGTTATCATCAATATCATTATCATTGATATCAATATCATAATTATTATCAATATTCCTATCATCAATAGCATCATCATTGATATTAATATCATAATTAATATCAATATTCTTCTCCTCAATATCATCATCATTATCAGTATTAGCATAATTGCCATTTTCATCATTATTTGTATTATCATTATTATCATTATTATCACTGTAACAATTATTATAATTATTATCATTTTTATTTCTATTATCATATAGCTATTATTTTAGATATCACTATTGTTAATATAGTTATTATTATGATTATCATTATCATCATCAATACTATTATTATTGATAATGCTATTATTATTACTATTATTACTATTATAATCCTTGTTATTAATATCATTATCATCATTATCATTATCATTATATTATTATCATTATCATCATCATCATCATTATTATTGTTGTTGTTATCATTAATATCATAATTTTCAGTTTCAGTATAATCATTATCATTACTATCATTATTATTATCATGATTATTGTTATTACTATTATTATTATTATCATTATTATCATTATCATCATTATCATTATTACTATAATTATCATTATTATTATCATTATTATCATCACTATCATTATTATTGTTATTACTATCATTATTAGCAGTAGTCGAAGTAGTAAGCCTACGATCGGTTTTAGTATTAATATTGGTATTAGAATTAGTTCTAGCAATAGGATTATCATTATCATTGCCATTAGTATTAGGCTAAGGATTAGTAGTATAATTTTCATCATCTTATATTGTTATCATCATCGTCATCATCTTGTATTGTTATTATCATTATCATCATAATCATCATCATCATTATTCCTATCTTTGCTACAAATACTATGAATATTATCATTATCATATTTAATTTATTACCACTCTTATATTCATCACAATTATTGTTTATCATTGTTTTATTATCATTATAGAAGGATTATTATGAATATGAATGCTATTATCACAATCTTTACTCTTTTCATTAACATCATTATTACTAGTATTATGTGTTGATATTCTTTTCAATTATCGTTTTTTTTGTGCGTGTGTGTTTTCTTCTTCTTTTTTTTTAATCTTACCATTATTAATATCATCGCCATTAGAATTAACATTTTTATTATAATCGTTTTTATCATTATCATAATGACAGTGGCCATCTTTAATAGTGACTATCATACAAAAAATGCGTATCAGTAATATAAGGAAATTACAGACCAATGTTTTCGGTATCTTGATAGCTATCAGTGCATATTAATAGCCTAGCTTTCTTTCACACCAGATCAAATTTTATCTCTTTCTCACCCATAATTTGCATACAAATCTTTTCTCTTTCGCAACCAGAATTTGCGTTAATTGCTTCCCTCTTTCCTAACCAGATTGTGGGTGTCGTCCTGGTAGCCTTGGTCGCGGGGATGCGGGGGGAGGCCGTCGTTCCCTCCCCCTACTTCGGGCTCATCGGCTCTTCCGTCCCCCTCGGCTCCAAGTTCGCGTCGACCTCCCAGTACTCCTTGACGGTCCAGCACGGCGCCGCCCCGCACGCGAGCCCCGTCTCAGCGCCCCTCAAGCGGGAGAAGTCGGTGAAGTTCGATGTTGACGACACGACTCTGTACCGCGAGGACGTGGGCGACGGGCCCTCGACGCGCGAGGAAGGCTCCGAGGAGGTCCAGCGGCATCGGGAAGGTCTTGGCAAGTCGAGTCGTCCCTTCCACCCTCGAATCGATTCTGCTCTTCCTCCGCAGAGGGCGCGAGTGAGGGTTCCTTCTGTTCCGAAGGTGGAGACGCCGACAGTCGTCCCTACCGCCCTTCCAGTCCAGGCGCAGGTTGTCCCCGTGTCTCCGGCCAGCGTGAGGGTCATCGTCCCGGTGGTTCCTGCGGCGGTGTCGCCCTTGGTCACTCCCGCGCCCCCAGTGGCAGTCCAGCACGAGGTGGTGAAGCAGCAGTTCCATGCCCAGGACGAGCTCGGCCGCTACGCCTTCGGGTACAGCGGCGGCCCGTCGTCCCGCGCCGAGACCCGCGACGCCCTGGGTCACGTCCGGGGCTCCTTCAGCTACGTGGATCCGCACGGGAAGATCCAGTACCAGCACTATGTGGCCGACGACCACGGCTTCAGGATCACATCCGCCTCTAACTTGCCACAGCGAAGGCGTAGACGCTCCCCAGAAGCTCAAGAGGACCAGAAGGCTCCGGAAACCCACGCAGCAGGCAAGGCACGCTCACATAAAGCTCATTCAGGGACCGGATCTCAGGCTGTCACTCTCAGTCAATTTAGCACCCACCCGGGGACGCCAAGTCAGTCGCCATTCGCACTCCAGCGCTTCCTAACTGCCCAACCCAGCTCAGTCGCCCAGCCAGCTAACTTGCCTCATTCAGATATTCTAGCTCATCCTGGCTTCTCTCAAAGCGGCATCTTTGTCCGCCCACGGGGTGAAATTCAGTCAGCTAATTCGGCTCGTTCAAATCTTGCTCACTTGGAGCCTGTGGTTCAGACGGGCCATGGAACTGGTCAGAGTTCCCTGTCTCTCCCGGGCAGATTTGCTCACCAACTTACCCCGGTTCCCGTCGGCTTTGGGGGCCAGCCGGTTAATCCTGCCCGCCAAGGCGCCACGTCCTTCCAGAATGCCGCATTCCAGGGTGCCGTAGCCACCCCGAGCAACGTAGCCTTCCAGGGAGCAGTGAGTAGTCCAAGTACCACAGCCTTCGTAGGTTCCGTACCCAATTCACATAGCATATCCCTTCAGGGTCCACTGGTTCACCAGGACACCGCAGCACAATCACCGTTTGTCGCCGTCCCAGGTTCCGGGACATCTGCAGTGTCTACTGGCACTGTCGGCACGTTTGGCCTTCCTAGTACTCACGGTTTTGCTAGTCAGAGTGCCCTCTTCGGAAACCAGGCGTCCCTCACCGCACCTGGGTCCTTTACCCCCAGTGGCGCCACAGGCTTCCCCAGCGGCGATGTCGCACTCTTCGTGGCTTCCGACTTCCTTCAGGGCAGCCGCGCAGACGCCGTCGCCCCAACATCCGGCGGCAGGGTGCGTCATCCCAGCCCCGCCCAGGGGATTCTGGGAGGCCTCGGGAGAGTTTCTGGCACTCCGGGGCTTCTGACCTCCGCTTCTGGCACTCCAGGCATCTTCGACGTCTTGGGCACCCAGGGCAACTCCGGCTTTTCCTATGGATTCGAGGAAAGTCCTACATCTGTACAAACTTTCGGGAGTCACTTCAACCCTGGACGGCAATAAAAAGGAGATCATATTAAACTATTCTACCCTCTGCAATAGGTGATTAGTAGCATAGGTTACTAATCACCTAATCCACCTGTTTCAGAATCAAATTTGTACTTGAAGCTTTCTTTTGGTGAATGAGTCGTTTAGAAAGATAGAGGGAGGGCAGAGATAGAGGGAGGGAGCGACTGAGCGAGAGGTTGGAGGAGGGGGTGCAGAGAAGGAGAGAGAGAGAGAAAAGGTGGAAGGGAGAGAGAGGGGGAACGCAGGAGAGACGGTTAGAGTGAGAGAAAAGGAAGGGAAGGAGGCAAGTAATGTTAGAGAGTTAGAGAGGGGAAAAGGGAGAGAGGGAGTGACAGTTAGAGGGAAGGGAGAGAGAAAAACAGGGAGACTGGGAGTAGGGGGGAATGAGAGAGAGAAAGCGAGAAAGAAATGTGAAGAGAGAGAAGGGGGAGAGAGGGAGAAAGAGAGAAACCTACATATCTAATTCAGTTCCTCTTCAGTCTTCATCCAGTATTCTCTGGATGGATGCATCTAAGGCAAAGATACTGTCAACATTTTCCCTTACTATTTTGTATTTAGATTAAGATATGTATATGCGTATGTCTTGCGTAAAATTGCAATATCCAGATTTGTTTACATAGAAATATGCAGTACATACAGGAGGGTCATTTCACAATATATCCAATGTGAATCTGTACAGATGTGGAAACCAAAGGAATATGATTTTGTGTGTTGAATAAAGATAATTAGTTTTTTAAGATACTGTCTTTCTGCCTTGCTTATTCAGAAATCTATGCATGCCAAATAATGCTGCATGTGGCGTGTATGCTTATGTGTGTGTGTGTGTGTGTGTGTGTGTGTGTGTGTGTGTGTGTGTGTGTGTGTGTGTGTGTGTGTGTGTGTGTGTGTGTGTGAGAGTGAGTGTGTGTGTGATTATGTGTTTGTGTATGTGTGTGTCTCTGCTTATATATGTACCGATTTTAATCTTAAAATCGGCTGATTTGTTTAATTTTGATCCATCTCCTGCTTGATAACAAATTGGAGCTATGTTTTGGCCAAATATATTTATAAAATACGTCAATCTATTATAAATATATGTTGCGATAGGCGACAAACAATGGATCATAGATGCTAAATAGAACTTAGTGGGAAATGCTAGAGCTCTCAGTGAAATATTTCCCAGATATTAATTTTTTTCCCAAAGTTCCGTTACAACCAGTGTATCATGGTGAAAAAAATAACTGAATAGATATCAATAAAGAAAAAATCATCATCATCATTACAAATTATCGTACAAGTATTGTTGATGAAAGATCTAATCGAATTACGTCTGATAAGTACATTCCACATTTCCATTCACAACTTTTCTACTGCACAAACACACACCACCAAAGAAGTGCTTCATATAAATACTAAATTTTTAAACACAAGAATCAAGCTTTAAAAAACTGCTGTGAAAAAAATATAGATTCATTGCACTCATTTGACTGTTAAAAGGGTATTACGATTTACTGAAATACTGCAATACTAAGTTTGCACGTTATGCGGCACATGGACGAAGCCGGCTCTGTGCATTGGTAAGTCTTGTCACGCAATATTTAACACGATAGATGGACGCGTATATAGATAGATATAGATGGAGGAAATGGAAAACTGTGTGTAGAGAGAGAGAGAGAGAGAGAGAGAGAGAGAGAGAGAGAGAGAGAGAGAGAGAGAGAGAGAGAGAGAGAGAGAGAGAGAGAGAGAGAGAGAGAGAGAGAGAGAGCAAGGAGAAGACAGATAAAGAGAAACAGAGATAAATAGAATGAATAGAAGGATAATGAAAGACAATTCAGTTTCCACCACACTATATAACCTTGGATTGTTTTTATAGCGATTTTGTGGTATACAACAAGTATATAAGAAACGTTTTTTCCAAGTAAAAACAACCTGGTTACTCTGCTTTTTATTGTTGTTGTCGTAATTGTTGTCAAAGTAATATTTATGGCATTTTAAATCTTTGTTAATAAAATTCAAAATATCGCCAAGCTTAGAACTCAACCTTTCCTGTCCAATGCTTTATATTTATAGCTTCGTGTCTGTATCTTTTGTTTTTTGCGTATTTTTTTCTACATTTGTCTATGCAATTTGCCTAAATCTGCATTTGTCTATATTTGTCCATATCTGTATTTGTTTTTATATATGTCTGCACTAGTAATTTACTCTATGTGCTTATAACGTATGATTTGCTTATACAACTATGTCTACCGTTATTAGTAGTCTATTTTTTCTGAATGTCTCTATATATATTTATCATTCAGTTGTCTATATGTCTATATCATTATCGAGGGTGTAGTAACTAAGCCACTTTCACACACACGCACGCACACACACACGCACATTCAAAAAATATACTTATACTAAATTTATATCACCTACTGATGGTGAAATTGGAAGTATATTGATGTCTGCAATAATGTTGAAATTTCTCTCTATTTTCTTATTTTCTCTCTCTCTCTCTCTCTCTCTCTCTCTCTCTCTCTCTCTCTCTCTCTCTATCTATCTATCTATCTATCTATCTATCTATCTATCTATCTATCTACCTATCTACCCTTTTATCTGCATCTCTCTCTTTTAATGATTCGTTTCCATGATAAGAATTAAAAAAAAAAAAAAACACACACACGTCTGCAAGAAAAACAAAAAACAACCAAAAGCCTTCAACCAAAAGAGTTCAACTTTCTCCTCTGCAGATATAACTTTTTAATAAACATGGCTTAACCTTTTTCATGCTTGTGTTTTATCTCTATCTCTCTATTTCAATTTCTTATAACGAATATGATGATGATACTGACAAAAAAGATGATGAGGATTATATATATATAAATGAAAATAACCACCGGTACAGTAGAGAGGCAATCATAGTAATTATAATATTGATAGAATCAAAATAAATAGTGTCAAAAATTGTCATGATGATGATTTTGACAATACAATAACCAGAATAAGATTTATGATAATTATGATGATAATTTGAGCATCAATAATTGTGATAATGGTGATACAACAATAATCATAAGGATAATGATAAAAAATATATATATAATGATAGTGATAATGATCTAAGGATAAGGATGGTTATCAAGATAATAATACTGAAAACAATGATCATAATGTTAATAATGACAATGGTAATAATAATAAACAAGTGACTGTAATGGTGATGATAATAATAATATTTACTATAGTAAGAATGAGGATAATGCTGAAAATAGTAATAAGTATTATTTTGTTATTGTTGTTATCATTATCATTATCATCATCATTATCAATATCTTATCATCACGATTATCCTTATCATTACTGTTATCACTTGTCATTATCATTGTATTAATAATAATTATTATTATCATTATAGTTCTAAAAACAATGATAATGATAATAATGAAAATAATACTAATAACAATAAAAATAGTAGTGATAACAATGATAATAATGATGATAATAATGATAACAATAATGATAATAATAATGGTTGAAAACGGTAATTATTTTACTATTATCACTATCATTACCATTACATTTATCAATATCCTTATCATTATCATTATCATTATGATAATGATGATGATGGTGAAAATTATAGCAATAATAATAATAATGACAATTGCAATAATAATGATTAGTTATCATTAATCATTATCATTACTATTGTCATTATTATTATTATTATTATTATTATTATTATTATTATTATTATTATTATTATTATTATTATTATCATCATTGTTATCATAATAATTATTATTACTATCACTGATATCATCATCCTCATCTTCACCATCATCATTATTTTTAATTTCTTATTTTTACTTTTACTCTTATTCCTATCGCTATTATTATCATTATAATCAATATCATCATTATCATCATTATCATTTTTATCATTATTATTTTTATTATCATTATTATTATTATCATCATCATCATTAGTATTGTCATCATCATTATCATTATTATTATCATTATTGTTATCATTATTATTATTATTATTATTATTATTATTATTATTATTATTATTATTATTATTATTATTATCAGTGTCATCATTATTTTTATTATCATAATTATTATCATTACCAATATTATCATTATTATTATTACTGTTATCATTATTATCATCATTATCACTATCAATATTGATATCATCGTTATCATCAGTATTACCATGATCTTTTTCATTCTAATTATTATTATAGTATTATCATCATCATTATCATCATTATCTTTATTATTAATATTTTACTATTATTATCATTATAAGAATTATTAGAATTATTATTGTTATAATAGTAGTGTTAATGATGATAAGATGAACAAGAACAAGAAGAGGCAATAATGATAATAATGATAATAATAATAATAATAATAATAATAATAATAATAATAATAATAATGATAATAATAATAATAATAATAATAATAATAATAATAATAATAATAATAATAATAATAATAATAATAATAATAATAATAATAATAATAATAATAATAATAACAATAATGATAATAATAATAATCATAATCATCATCATCATAATAATAATAATAATAATAATGATAATAATAATAATAATAATAATAATAATGATAATAATGATAACAATGATAATAATAAAAGTATTAATGATAGTAGTAATTATTATAATAATAACAATAATGATAATAATAATAATAATAAAAATAATAACATAAAATAGTAATAATAATAATAATAATGATAATAATAATAATAATAATAATAAAAAGAAGAAGAAGAAGAAGAAGAAGAAGAAGAATGATAATGATAATGATAATAATAATAGTAACAATAATAAAAGTAATAAGAAGAACAATAAGGATAGAAATAATAGTTAACAATGATAATAACAATACTGCTGATAATGATAATAATGTTGATGATAATAATAATATCAATGATAGCAAAAATAATAATAACACCACCACCAACGTGAATAATAATAAAAATAGCAACGATGATAATAATAACGATAGTGATTGTATTAACAACAACAATAATCATAATGATGATTATAATGATAATAACAATGATGATGATAAAAATAGTAATAGTAGTAGTAATGATGATAATGATGATGATAATATCAATAATAACAATAAAAGGGGCAATAATAGTAATAATAATAATAATGATAAAAATCATGATGATAATAATAATGATGATAATAATAATAATAAAAAATAATAATGGTAATAATAATGATAATGATAATGATAATAACAATGATGATGATAAAAATAGTAATAGTAGTAGTAATGATGATAATGATGATGATAATATCAATAACAAGTAATAATAAATAATGGGATAATAATAATAATAATAATAATAATAATAATAATAATAATAATAATAATAATAATAATAATAATAGTAATAATAATAATAATAATATGATGATGATGATGATAATAATAATGATAATGATCATACTAATGATGATGATGATGATGATGACAAGTAACAAGTAGTAACAATATTGATAATGATAATAATACATAGACAATAACGTGATTTACAACACTTGTAAGAGGCATGCTAAAAATATCTTACAAATTCTAGCTATTCTTAATTTGATCATAAGAAAAAATGCGACTCTGCATCAGTATACGATGGATAGCATTCATTCATTACAGCCAGTAAAGAGAACATGAATCTTTATACAAAAATAAAAAGAAAGAAGGAAAAGCAAGCAAAAGGATTCATTCCAGTGTTCACGCCCAGCGAGACCGCCCTGGGAATCGCCATTATTAGCTACCTTGGAGGCCGCAAATGTGCCTGCAAAGGCAACGTCATTTGTCCACAACCTGCAGAGGCCTTGATTGAGGAGTATATACCGGCGGAGGTGACCGAGGGCCGTCAGACAGCTCCCTCGTGTCGGGTGGGTCCAGTCCTCTCTGCGCCATGAACACCCTCGTGAGTGTTGGCTTCTGGGCCCTTGCAGTGTGTGTGTCTGGCGTTATGACAGGGAACTGCTTATCTCATCATATTTTGTTTACAGGGTCTTTTGTGCGCCTTCGCCGCCTTCGTCAGCTGCTTAGCTTTCTGTGATGGTTCCTTCGCCGTAGTCTCTCACGCTCCAACTGCTGCCGTCGCCGTCCACGCTCCGGTTGCGCCAGCGGCCCCCTATGTCTCCGTGGGACATCACGCTCCCGTGCCATTGGCGCCTGCCGCGTCCCAGTACCACGCCCAGGACGAGCTCGGACAGTACTCTTTCGGCTACAGCGGCGGCCCCTCCTCCAGGAGCGAGAGCCGCGACGCCTACGGCAACGTGCGAGGCTCCTTCAGCTACGTCGACTCCTACGGCAACGTCCAGTCCCGATCCTACGTCGCCGACGGCTTCGGCTTCCGCGTGATTGGCACCGACGGCCTTCGGCACAAGCGGTCCTACGGCACTTACCCGGCCTCCACTGGCCCCCTGGCCACCGTGTCCCACGTGGCTCCTGTGCTTCACGCTGCTCCTACCTTAGCTTCTGTTGCCTCTCCTCTCGGAGGCTTCTACGGTCACCACGCAGTCCCGTCCTTCGCCAGCTACGGGAGCCACCTGGCCCACCCCTTCGGCCACGTGCTTCGTCACAAGCGCTCCTACGGCACCTACCCGGCCTCCACTGGTCCTCTCAGCACCGTGTCCCACGTGGCTCCAGTGGTTCATGCTGCTCCTGCAGTGCCCCCTGTGCTTCATGCTGCTCATGCTGCATCCCCTGTGCTTCATGCTGCTCCTGTATTGTCCCCTGTGGTTCATGCTGCTCCAGGCTTTGCTCCTGTTGCCTCCCCTCTCGGGGGCTTCCCCTTTGGACACCACACAGTTCCATCCGTCACCAGTTACAGAAGCCACCTGGCTCACCCTCTGCTGACTAAATATTCTGACTACTAAACTCGTGCTTACACGCCTAATTGCTGCAATAAAGCTGTGTTTTATCTAGTAAAAACAGATTTGGAAGCAGTGAAATATGTGCATATATGTCTCTCCCCCCCCCCCTCCGGCGCCCTCATGCCCCTCTATCCATTTGGTCAACTCTGCCTAGATCTCTTATTCGTAACCTTTCTCTGTGTATGTCTGCTTCCATACCCTTTCGTAGGCAAATACTTTTTGTTGGATTTATCTCTCTCTCTCTCTCTCTCTCTCTCTCTCTCTCTCTCTCTCTCTCTCTCTCTCTCTCTCTTCTTCTCTCTCTCTTCTCTCTCTCTCTCTTCTCTCTCTCTCTCTCTCTCTCTCTCTCTCTCTCTCTCTCTCTCTCTCTCTCTCTCTCTCTCTCTCTCTCTCTCTCTCTCTCTCTCTCTCTCTCTCTCTCTCTCTCTCTCTCTCTCTCTCTCTAACTCTCTCTCTATCTATCTATCTATCTCTTTCTCTCTCTCTCTCTATCTATCTATCTATCTATCTTTATCTATCTTTTTATTTCCATCTCTCTATAGATAGATAGGTAAATAGATATGTATGTACATGTATCTATGCATAAATGTAAATATATGCATGTGTATGCATGCATATATTTATGTCTATATACACACGCACACACACACACTCACATATGTATGTACATACATATGTGTGTGTGTTTGTGTATATATATATATATGAATTTATGTATGAATGGTTTCAAGCATACATGCTGACATATCGTGTCTCTACACATCCTTCCTCTTCTCCCACACATACCCAAGATGACCTCCTTCCTCACCCCCTCCACCCCACCCCATAGGCCCCCCACCCTAAAGCAACACGCAAAACAAATGACGAACAACAATTAGTCACCGCCGAGCCAGCAAGTGTTCGTGTCTGGTGCCAAGGTCGTCTCCATTGAGGATATGAGTCATCGTGTCTAATGAAAGGGGTTCTGGCGATTTTCGTGGGAATTTGGGTTTAAGGATCACGAAAAGGCGATCCAGGTTGTTCAGGTTTGTTTATAATGCGTTGGAGAAAGTTTTTGTAGGTAAGTTTTTGGGTTTATATTTTTCTATATTATGGCTATTCGATGATGTAAGTGTTATTGTGGTTATTTGTTAATGTTATTATTACTATTATTATTAATTTTGTTGTTTAGACTACTACTACTAACACTACTAACACTGCCACTACTACTGCTTATAATGATAATAATAAGAAGAGGAATTGTTGTCATCATTATAAGTATCGTTATTATCATCATTATCATGATTATCATAATTAAAGTCGTTATCTTTATTATCATCAGTAATATCATCATCATTACTAATTAGTCTCTCTTGTTCAAAATACGGAGAAAGTTTACGTGGTTAATATGTATTTTTGTTTACTTAGCTCTAAAATAACATGAATGCATAACTTAGTTAACGTTCTTCAACAACAAATACAATGTGAATATATATTTTATGTTCTCGTGGGTGGAATTCAGGCTTAATTTGAAATTATTCTTTACAATATGAATTTAATTCGTGAAACATGTCTTACAATACTGTTTTTATAGGGCTTCGAAATCATTTCTATGGTCTATGATATAATATCTCAAAATGTTTAATATCTATTTATATCACTATCAAAAGCAATGCATTGCAGAAGGATCAAATGAATGATGATTATAAAGGGGATACGTGTATTTACAATATATAACTCTCACTTAGGTTTAATCAAGCCGCCAACATCCGGCCGCCTCTTGTATTATGTGATTTCGTGACGAATATGTCCTTGGCCTTGTCTATAGCATTTTTTCCTTGTGTTCGAGATTGAGTCCTTGGAAACACGCCTTTAACTGTACGTGCTTCGTTTCATTTACTTCCATCCGGGTCTTTTTGATGGCGTTTCCAGATCCCGTTTGTTTAAACTGCTGTCGAAGGCTTCGGTCTGGTGAGTGAATGTCATCATCGTGCAGCGCTTTGTGGATGAAAAGATTACAAAGGCGTGCACTTATTTTCATCGGTATTGAGTCGAGGCGGCGCAGGAGCTCTACGGCTGGGGTTCTGAGGGCACGAGACGCCTCCTGCTGGGGAGGACGAGGGTGAGGTAGCCGGCAAGAGGAAAAATCCTTCGGGAAGCTGAAGGACCTGTCGCTTGCTCCATTAATCTACATCGGGAGCCTCGGCGGCGGCGATGGCTGCCTCGTTGTAGGCTTTGAGGAAGGCTGCCTTGGCCGCCGCGACCTCCGGGGTGTCCCTGACGGGCTGGGGCGTCGGCAGGGGCTCGTGGACTGGGGCGGCAGCTCCGCCCGCGGGGACCTGCGGGGGTTCGTTCCCGTGACGCGGAAGCCGAGCTCGTCCGCGACGTAGTGCTGCGTCTGTGCGGCCGTCCTCGTCCACGTACGAGAGTAGGAGCCCCGCACCGAGCCGTCGGCGCCGCGGGTCTCCGAGCGGGCCAGGTCTCCGCCGCGAAGCCGAAGGTGTACTGGCCGTACTGGTCCAGCGATTGTACTGGGACTCGATGGGCTGTACTGGGGTACTGGGGCTGGGGCTGGCTGGGGCTGGCCGGTTGGTACTGGGGCTGAACCTGCTGGTACTGGGACTGAGTCTCTTGGTATTGAACTGGCTGGTACTGAGGCTCAGCAGTTTGATACTGAGACTGAACCGGTTGGTACACAGCCGCAGCGGGTTGGTATTGGGCCGCCA